ACCACTTGGCAAGCCATGCTGTGGCGGCGTCCCATATAAAGTGGAGGAAGATGGGCATGGATGTTAGCCCAGGGCCAGTCTTCCTCAGCAAAAAAAGAGGAGGATTGGCAGATGTTAGCTCAGGGCTGATCTCCTCACACACACACAAAAAAAAATCATCATGCATACAAAATCTGGAAGAATAAACACTAGTCAGATAAGAGTTATCTCTTGAGGTAGGATTAGGGACTTTTACTATCAATTTTATGCAATTCTCTATTAAAAAAATAAGTTTTACACTAAACACAATAACTTTTTTTAATTTTTTGCTTATTGCAGTAACATTGGTTTATAACGTATAAATTTCAGGTGTACATCATTACACTTCTATTTCTGCATAGATTACAACAATAAATTTCATAATTAGTAATTTTCATTGCTACCTGCTCTTGATTTCCCCACATTGTAAGGCCAAATCAGCCAAAATGAAATCTTAAGCTGTAGATCTTTCCATTTCTGATGCCTTCATCTCCTGGCATCAAGCAGCTTTAGGACCCTTGGAGATCATTTAACCGAGCAGGTCACAATAAGAGGGGGAGCTCTCTCCATGGACCAATCTGGGCAAACGTGAGATCTGAGAAGCCTGTCTTTCCCTCATCATCTTTCTTTCTGTGCCTTTTCTCTTCTTCTCTGGCCCCTCCTTTCTTTTCTTCCCTGTCTATTATCCCTACTCCCAAGGCACCTAAGTATCCTATGTTTCTCCTCCAGCCCCATCAAAACAGTCATGGGCTCCTTCCTCTAAGCCATTGATTCTCCATTGCAGCTGGACATGAGAGTCAGCTGGTGAACCTTTAGACATCAGTGTCCAAGCTGCATCCCAACCAACTGAATCAGAATTCCTGGTAGTGGGACAGGAGCGCCAGTAGTTTCCAAAGCTCCCCAGGTGATTCTAACATGCAACCAAATTGAGAACTGGCTTCGAGAAAGGAACTGATGGAGAACCACTGCTCTAATCTGATAACAGCCTGAACAGCTGTCCAAGGAGGAAATATATTTTAATAGGGAACAGAGTCTTAGAATAAAAGGCTGAAGCTCAAAGGGATGACACAAAATGGAGCCTCCCCTCAGGCCGTGCAACAGTCTGGGGTGCAGGTTCTTTCCATCCATTCATCAGGCACCTTCATTCTCCTACAATTTATTTAAATGCTAACTGATCCACTTCTTTAGCCATCTGTGAATCTCATCAACCATAACCTGGGGTAGTATCTCATTGGCTAGGTTGTCAAGGGGATTAAGTAGAAAACCATGTTGTAAACCAGCTAGTCCAAGACTGATATGTAGTATATGTTTAATTAATGTACTCCTGTTTCTTTCTTTCTTGCTGGTCAAAATGATTGAGTGGATATCTGAAAGCAGGATTGCGGAAGCCATTAAAGGGGGCTGTGCCCGGGTCAACTGCCTGGGGCCCAACCACAGCAGCAGTAGGGCATCTCAGAGTGTGCCCTTGTTACATGCTACGTGCACCATCTTCCCCTCAATCCAGGTAAAGGCGAATTGGGGCGAGGTCACTAAATGAAGGAGTAGCAAAGAGAAGAAGGCCAGAGTACATTCTGGAGCTAGAGGGATGCATGACCCACATTCTTGAAAATGCTCCTGGCACCAGGACTGTGGCCTCCTGTAAGGGCCCAGGCAACACAAGCTCTGCCAACCAGGCACTAGAACCAAAGGAGATACTAATTTGATACAAGTTTTGACAACTTTAGAAAAATGCAAAGCCTATTCTAGTTTTCTCTCATTCAATAGGCTTACACACACTTCAATTTGGTGAGCGGCTCAGTCAGCCAGTACATAAAATAATTGTGGAGTCATTATTAAGTTCAAGGCACTGTACTAGCATTCCAGGATTGGGTACAAGGAAAAGGTCAAGGGTAATGAGGAGCTGAACACACAATCCCTGCCCAAAGAGCTTAGTCTAGTGAGGTAGAGGAGACAAAGGACATGAGAAAAAAAAAAACAAAAACAAAAAACTCAGGACCGGAAAACTTGACCTGAGGGTTACATTCAGACACTGAGTCATTGCAGCTATGTGGGGTTTCCAAGGAGCTCAACACTGTGCAAACTCTGGCCATGACCCACTGGATTCTCTCACAATCCTGTGAGTTTTGACCACCTCCCTGAGCCTTTGACTATTTGTTTCTACTGCAATTCTCAGTCTGAACGTTTTTCCTAGAAATAAACAACCAGAGCGGTTTTACAATTAAGTAGCTTTTGAGTTGTCACCAAGGTCTCTCACGGCCAATTCAAAAGTATTTTTTAAACACCAGCTCTTACTGCCTTGCACCAGACTAAGGATTGTAGAGGACACAAATTAAGGAGTAGCCTCAATCTCTTCCTGCAAGAAGCTTACACTCCTTGGTGTGCTGTAGCCCCCTTGTACTTGCTTCTGAGAACCATGTGCTAAATATTCAGGAATTTTGTGAGCTGGTTGTTAAACAGAGGCATGGTTGCTTGAATAATGGGCCTCCAAAAGATATCATGTCCTATTTCCTGGAGCCTGCGAATTAATTTATATGACAAAAAAAGAGAAAAAAAAGGACTGTGCAGATGTGATTAAGTCAAGGATCTTGAGATAGGGGGATTATCCAGGTGGGCCCTAAATGCAATCATATATATACTTATGACAGGAATGCAGAAGGAGATTTGACACACACAGAAGAGGAGAAGACAATGTGACTACCGAGGCAGAAATTAGAGTGATGTGGCCACAAATCCAAGCAACGCCAGCAGCCACCAGAAGCTAGAAGAGCCACTAGAAGCTAGAAGAAGCTCTTCCCTAGAGCCTCCAGAGGGAGCAGGATGTTGACACCTTGATTTCAACCCAGCGAAACTGATTTTGGACTATTGGCCTCCAGAACTGTGAGAGAATAAATTTTTGTTGATTTAAAACACCAAATTTATGGTAATTTGTTACAGCAGCCATAGGAAACTAATACAGGTGGGGAGCTTGAAATCAGCCACGGTGGACTATTTACACAGAGAAATTGGCAAATGCTACAAATCAGAGCTTTTGTTTCAGAGAGCTGGTGTGTTATAACTCAGTAGTTCAGCCTTAGAGAAACAACTAGAGAATGTCACTGCATGGCGTAACATGACGTGATGTACCATGATATGATGTGATATGTGACACAACCATGATGTGATGTGATATGTGACACACTGGAAAATGCACTTAATCTGTGACCATGTTCCTCATTCTAATTCTTCCCCCAAGAGATTCCATCTGTCCTTACACAGATCTCTTTACTTTTCTCTGTGGTTTCCTTCCTGAAAAAATAAGACCCTCAAAACAAACTCATTCACTCTAGAAGCATTTATTCAGCACCTACTATGTACCAGAAACAGTGCCGAAGGTACAAAGATGAGCAAAACGTGATGCCTATCATTAGGGTGGGGACACTCGTGACATCAGATAGCTAAACGCCAAAAATTGCCAGCATGAGGTAAAGGTCAAGGGTGACTGCTGAGGTGTTCCCCATCTCCACGATTTGCACTCTTTCTGATGCCAGTGCCAAATCACTGAGATATTTTGTCACTGGGGAGTGGAGCTCTCTGTGGGCAATGTTTTCCCAGACTAATCAAAGAGCTTTCTCTGAAAGTGGCTAAGTTGGACACATGCCCAAATCACTATCTCCTAGTAAAGGTAACTGGGCCAAGTACAAAACCTGGGTCCTAAACACAGGTAGGTAGCATTTGTCAAACAAAAGGACACCACCCACGGTGTCTCCATGGGGTGGTGCTCATCGCCAAAGATGCCACTGCTCCACCGATGCTATGGTAACAGCAACACGAAAACCATGGCTCAGATGACCACCTGGGTCCCTATTCTCTGCATCTTTCCCCGTTACTCCTCATAAATGTCCTCACTGAGTGCTCTGCCTAAAGTTTTAAGATTTCAGGCAACTTCCTCTGGTGGCATTTGAAGTTAACATCCAGGGTAGCTAACAGAAAACAATTCAGCCTTCCCTTTTTAAGACACTACATCTCTAAATCCTCTGCTCTCGCCCACTAGTAAGCTCCTTGGACATTCTTTAAAGCTATAGATGTTGGCAATAATCAGGCACCGTAAATATCCCATGACTTTGTTATGGGAGAGGAAATATATTTGCTAGTATTAGGCAGTTTACACAGAGTAACAAGTTTACTCCTCCAGGTGTGGGACCTATTTGAAGCAAAATTTTGTCTATTCCTTGATTTAAGAAATGCTTACTGGGCCGGCCCCGTGGCTTAGGGGTTAAGTGCACGCGCTCCACTGCTGGCGGCCCGGGTTCGGATCCCGGGCGTGCACCGATGCACCACTTCTCTGGACATGCTGAGGCCGCGTCCCACATACAGCAACTAGAAGGATGTGCAGCTATGACATACAACTATCTACTGGGGCTTTGGGGAAAAAAATAAATAAACAAGTAAAATTATAAAAAAATAAGAGATGCTTTTAAAAAAATAAATAAAGAAATGCTTACTGAGAGACTCTATATGCCAGGCACTGAACTAGGTACTGGAGACCCAAAGACAGTTAAAAAGCAGGCCCTGTCCTCAGAAGCACACTCACCCATCATCAGCAAGTGTCACTGGTGTTATGACATAAGGATATCCAGGGTACAGTGGGGTCCAGAGGAAGTGGTGGTCAGTCATGCCAGAGGGCCAGGCAAGGCTCCATAAATGATCAGGTGTATAGATTCTGGGAAGATGGAGGCACTGATGGTACTGCTTCTGAATCTCCCCCACATTCCCCATAAAAACAGACAAACTAGGATAACCAAACAAAAAACCCGCAGACAAAACTACCACAAACCCCAAAAGAAGAGTAAGTGAGGACAAACAACCGACAACATCAGAAACATCACTGGGGACAGGACATAAACCTATTGATGAGAAGCTTGCATTTAGAGAGACAGACTAGGGAGTGCATGCCGTATGCAAATCTAAAGCGGTAAACGCTATGACCAGGGAAAAGACCAAAGGGGAACACACAAGTTCACTCTTATGTGCGCTGATACACACACACACATACACACACACACACACACACACACACACACACATATATGGATCAGTTAAAGTTTAAATTTAAAGTTAGACTTAGCTAAATCTAAGTCTAAATTTAAAGTTAAAGTTAGTTTAAGTTTAAATCCTAAGACTGGCCAAGCTGACAAACATGCTTGATGCGCAGCCCAGGGGTAATCAGCTAGCATTAAAATAAATAAAAGAGCCACACTCCCCAAGTGGCTCCTACCAATCCTACTATTTGGCTCAACATCAACAGTCTATACCTTGCTAATTCGCATAATGTATATCAAAAAAAATTCTTGGTGAAAGTCAAGTCTTGTTAATTAGCATATTGGATATTAGAAATACGATCTCACTGAAGAAATTAAAGATGTTCAAGATCTATAACCTGCTAAGACAGCCGAGCAACACTCTCTGTTCTTGCATGGACAAGGTGTAAGAATCCAGCAAAGCTAGAAACCTGTACAGGGCACGTGAGCCTTAATCCTCAATCAGACCCACACCCAACAATCTGATTAGGAGGATCACTGTTTGCACAGCATCATGCCTTGGAATGTGGCCATGTCGGCCCGGAATGAGCCATTTTATACAGAGAGGAAGGCAGAGCACCTAAGAAGAGAGAGAGGAGGGTTTCATCAAGCTTACAGAACAGATAGGTGCACTGTTTCGTGCCTGCCTTCTTAATGAATGTCTGTCTAATTAATGTGTGCATGTGTAACAGAAAAAAGAGGTCATGATGTCTATGCTGTAAAAGAAAAAAAAGATTTTTCTAATTTGGAAAAATGACTTTGTAAAGAATGTAAATTATAGAACAGTTAAAATTAAATATAATTATGTTTAATTATAGGACACTACAGTCTAAGTGGTAATTAAGTATAAATGTCTAAAATTAGATTTTTTTATAATTCTAAATAAGATGATTAAATATTAAAAGAATTCATGTTTTAGAGTCATATAAACCCTAGTTCTTCCATCTAAAACTATAGATCTGATGTGAACTAGCTTTCTCATTTGTAGTACAGAGATTGTATCTATCGTAAAGGAGTGTTGTATTACATGGGACAATGCACTACAATAATTATAGAGTGCTGACTAAGGGTGCTTAGAGCAGAAGATCATGAAAATAGAAAAAAACAATATGCATTTTCCAAAAGTATTAGTTCCCTCTCTCCCATCTCACCCCCAAAACACAGAAGTCACTGAAGAACCTACAAATGCATCAGTATATACACAAAGATGTAATTAATGGAAGCACAGTCTCTTAAGGATGGAAAGACCATTCATGATGGCAGCCTAGTTAAGTAGTTTCTCAGTGCTGGTCTATGGAATGGAACAGTGCTGGCCTGTTATAGCTGAAAGTGGTTGTTAACTTTTTAACATCCCTACGTGGCAAAGTAAAAACATCAACAAACAACTTCATGCCAACCTTTTACCTTTTAAAAATTGTTCAATGAAATCCAAGTCAAGAAACCCCAGGTCCAGTCCAATGATGGGGCTGACGCTAAAACTCCCCTTCTCCATGATTCCCGCCAAGAGTACATTTCAGGCTCTGTGTGAGCAATTTTGATCTGTCAAAACACATTACCTAGGCAAAAGCCTGGAGGAACTTTTCACCTTGTGACCATTTTTAAGGAAACAATACTTTTTAGTGTAGAATCTAGATTCTGGATCCTCTAAATATGTCAGTAACGATAGAATTTAGAGAAGAAAAAGTTTACACTTCTTTTATAAAATGATTACTCTCATGTCATAGATTTCCCATGTATCCTATTTATTTGGATCATACTCCTACAGGAAGAAGCACCATCTGAGTGACCTTGGGCAAGTCACATCTCTACGTGACTTGGTGCTTCCCTTCATACGGTGGGAGCTGACAGGCTTTGTGACTGGGCCATACTGTGGAGAGAATGCTGCTGAAGTCTGATAACCGGGCTCCAGTCCCAGTTTCAGCTACATCCCTTAAAATAAGGTGACCATGGTAAGCACTTCACTCCTCCAACCTGCAAGTCTCGATATCCAATAAAAGAAGAAGCCAACCTAGACTGTGCCTATTATTCTTTCCACCACAAATATTACCTAAGAACAAACTGGTTAAAGATAGTTACATGCTATTTTTAGCCTACTCAATCTGGGTAACCATTCCTCATGATGGCTCTCTTTGAATTCCACACAACTTTCTCTTTGCCCTTGTGCTAGTATGTATTTACTGATCTTTCACTGGATGTAAATAATTTACTGTCTATTTTTGAAGTGGTTCCATATTTCTGGATGAATTAATTATGTCATCATTTTTATGACTGCATTAGATTTAAATCCAAAAAATCAATAATTGAGCCAACTGATGATGATGATGATAATGATAATTAAATCAACAACACAATGCCAGATTTTTATTTAATGCTTATTACATGCCAGTCTTTGTAATAAGAATTTTATACCTATCTCATTTCATTCTCATAGGCACCCAGTGAGAAAGGTTCTACATTATCCCCATTTTATAAAGGAGGAGAACAAGGAGTACAGAAGAGTTAAGTTATTTGACTAAGGTCACACAGCTAGTAAAACGAGGGAGCTAAAAGTTGAAGCTAAGTGTGTCTGATTCTGGAGCCACGCTATTATGTTCCTCTGTCCTACTTTGAGATTCTAGATGTTTCCTTAATGAACAAACAGATGAAATGCTCATGGGTAAGTGACTTCCTTTTTCTGGCCTTTAATTTTCTTATCTGTCAAATCTGTTTCAGGTAAAAAGAGACGAAAAGCAGCAAGCACAAAGGCCCAAAGGCAGAGGAGAATGTAGAACTCTGGAGGAGATAAGATTGTTGAAACCAATATTGTTGAAACAGAAAGAGAAAGGAGAAAAATGATAGGAGACACACAAAGGGCCCAGAGGAGAAAGGGTCTTATAAGCCGTGGGAAGGAGTTCAGACTTCAGTCTGAGGGCATGGAGAGCCATTAATGGGTTTTAAACAAGGGAATGACGTGCTAGTAGCTGTGCATTGTCAAAATATCACAGAGACGGTGAAGTGGGAAGTGGATGCAGGGGTTAGAGGGCAGGCAGGGAGCAATCTGGAATCTGCAGTCACTGCGTGCTAGACTGCACGGCAAAGACAGTAACGGAGGATGACAGTGATAGTGAAGAGAAATGTAAAAGGGGGAACCGACAGGATGCGATGAGTCATTGGCTGGGGGAGATAACAGAGGAAGGAGTCAGGAAGACGTACAGGATTCTGGCTCGTGTCACTGAGTGATGTTGATGCTGTTTACTGAGACAGGGACACTGATAGAGAAAAAGGGTTAAAAAGGAAAACGAACTCAGTTTTGGAAAAGCTGAGTTTATATGACATTCACATGGAGATTATCAGCAAGCACTTGAAATTCAAGACAAAGATTTGGGGCAAAAATAGAAATTTACAAGTTGTTTCATATAGGTAGAAATGGGAGGAGATGAGGTAGAGAGCACGGCATAAAAAATGATAAAAGATACGGAATTAAGCTCTAAGAAAGAGTAAAACCGGTAAGAGAGACAGAGATGAAGTGATCTGAGCATTAGGAAGCAAATTAAGCAAGTGTGAATTTATTAGAAAGCCAAAGGAAGATCTTTGAGGAGAAGGGCAACAGTTGACAGCATCAAATGCTGTTGAGAGTTCAACCAGGTTAAACACTGAAAAGTGTCCATTGAACTCAACAATCTAGGAGGCACTGGTGACCTTAACAAAAGCAGTTTTCATGAGAGGGGGAAATGTGGAAGGCAGAGGGTAGTGGGGTGAGGAGGGGTTGGAGTTGGAAGGGGGTAGTGGACATCTCTGTTCACTCAGGAAGTTTCACTATGAAAGAGAGAGGAGAGGTGAGATGGAGGATGTTGTTTCTCTTGGGTGATTAGGGCGTGTTTAAACGCCCATGGGACAATAGGACGGAGCCAGTAGTAGAGAGAGCAAAGTAAAGGGCAGGACAGAAAGGTGGTAACTGATTCTACAAAGTTCCCAGGGAAGTGAGGATGACAGGATTCAGAGCTTAGGAGGAGGGCAAGCATGAACTTTAGACAGCAGGAAGGACTCCTCCTCTGGTGTAACCAGAAGGAATTAGAAAAATGTACATCTTTACATACACTAGTGCAATTTTCTGCAATAGATGCAGGGAGCCACCAAAAAGCAGAGCCTGGGAAAAGCTATTTCCAGTTGCAGAGATGTTTTAGGCACAGGGGAGTCTCCATCAGCAGTGGTTCTCAAACTCAGCTAAGCCATGGACTCCCTGAGAAGCTTTTAAAAATTCTGACCTCAGATTACACCCCATACCAATTAAATTACAACCATCAATAATTAGGAAAAAACAACAAGAACACAAGAGATTCTAATGTGCAGTCAAGTTTGAGAACCAGTTATTTAGAGATATTACATGGTTTAATATTTACCATTAAAAATTAATTATATGATTAGAAACAAAAAGAACTTTAGAGAGCCTTCAGTTTAGCCTTTTTCAGATCAACAGCACACCAGTAAACTTATAAAGGAAATAGAATAGAAAATATCTGAGCACATTGCACATAGAAGGGGAAAGCATAATTCTAATAAAGTTTTGTTTAATTTTATAGGTTCATATGAATGAACTGAGTCAAGATGGAAAATGTACTTCTTATTGTGAGTCAGGGTCAAAAAAGTCTGAAAACCAGTGATCTAAACAAACTCCTTTCACAGATGAGAAAATGGAGGCCCAGACAGATCAAAAGGCTTCCTTCAAGTCACAAACACACAAACAAATGATGGCAAATTCCAGACTAGAATCTAGTTTTCCTGACGACTACTTTCAAGGCACCTAATGATCCTCTGTTTCCTGTGTGTGTTGGTTACCCCTTCTCAGCACTATTGTAAGCTCCCTGAGGGTGGGGATTATGTCTTCAATTCTTTAGGTTTACCCACATTTGTCAATTTTTTTGCTTCCCACATGCCTCTTCTTTCCTATGGGTTCTATTTCCTTCTTACTTAAGCAATTTTTTAGCAAAGCTCTCTTATTCTTTGTTTGAAAATGTTTTGTTTTGGTCTCACTTTGAATGATAACTTAGTTTAGGGATTTTCAAAGTGTAATAAGCATATAGAACCCCTAGGGATCTTCTGAAAGCGCTGACTATGATTCAGTAGGTCTGGGGTGGATTCTGCATTTCTTACTTGTTCCTAGGTGAACTGGTGCTGCTGGTCCTTGGACCACACTTTGAGTAGCAAGGGTTTAGTAGGTTCAGAATTCTGTGTTGACAGTTATTCCCTGCCCCCACCTTGTGCTCTGAAGATATTGTATTGTCTTCTGACCTCCGCTGTTGCTAATGAGAAATTCTACAGCAGTCTAATATTTGTTTTAAAGAAATCTCTCATTCTCTTTGGTTTCTTTAAAACTTTTCCTCTTTGTCTTTGGTGTGCTCCAGCTTTATTGTTATGCACCTATATTTATGTTTATTTATCCTACTTGAAACTTGGCATGCTTCTTCTATCTGAGGAATGAGTCTCTCAGCAGTTCTGGAAAATTATCAGTCATTGCTCTGTCCAATGTGATCTTATGGATCTTACATTGTAGTAAAAGGAGACACACAATAAGTAACAGACATAAACAAGTAAAATGGTAACTTAAGAGGTGATAGGTGCTACGGGAAAAAGAAAAAGTTGCTATTGGGGGGGGCTACAATTTCAAATATGATGGTCAGGGTCAGCCCCATTGGGAATGTGACATTATAGTGAAGACATGGAGGCTGTCAGGGGGGAGGGTGTTCCAGGCAGAAGGAAGAGCCAACACAAATCCCTTAGTGGAGATGGTTTGGGAGTAGGGGGTCATGTAGGTCCTACGTTTGTAGACCACTGTAGGAGGATTTTGGCTTCTACTTAGGATGGGATGAGGAGCTATTGCAGGGTTTTAAGCAGAAAGTGACATAAGGTGACAAATTTTTACAAGATCACTGACGGCCACATAGGGGAGCTTCTTTTAGAAGGAAGGAGGCAAGTTAAAAGTTTTTTTTCCAATAATCCTTGTAAGTGATTACACAGAGGTATTAGCATGGGGTGTAACAATGGTATTGGCATTGAAATCGGTGATAAAAAACTGAAGTTGAAGTCAGGATGCTCCAACTATCAGCAGTCTTCTTGAAAAGTAGAGCCAACTAGAGCTAACAGGAGTCTCAATAGTTTGCATGCAGAGAGTGAGAGAGAGAGGAGTCATGGATGACTCCAAGGTTTTTGGCTTGGGCAACCAAAAGGACAAAGTAGCCAACAACTGAGATAGGGAAAGCTGAGGGTACAGCAAGTTTAGGGAGTGAGGAGTGGGGAGATGCAGAATTCAGTCTTGGATGTAAGTGTGAGATGTCTAGTAGACATCCAAGTGGAGATGTTGAATAATCAATTTGATGAACATGAGTCTGAAGGCTGAGGGAGAGAAATGTGGACTGCCAATATTAATTTGGGAATCATCAGCATATATCAACCTATGCTTGTGATTGGGTGAGATAATCAAGGAAATGAGTAAAAGATAGAGGGGAAAAACAAGTTGGGTAAGGGATGAGCTTTAGGGCACACCTACTTTAAGAGGTCAAGAAGGAACTAGCAAATGAAACCAAGAAGGAGTGACCAATGACACAGGAAGGAATCCAGGAGAGTCTGGTGTCCTGGAAACTATGTGAATACAGTGTACCAGAAACAAAAATGGGTTCATTTGTGTCAAACACTGCTGATAAGTTCACTAAGACTAAAACTGAGAATTGACTACCAAATGTATCACAGTGAAGGTTATATGAGAAGTGGGTCATTAAACATCCCATGCTACAAAAGAGGAAACTGAGGTTCATGATTTGTAAGTTTTGGAGCAAGGACTCAAACCAAGGCTTGTTGGCTCAAAATCTCTCACCCGGTATAATCCTAGATGAGAATTCAAGGTCAAATCCTGTTATTGATCTGACTCCACAGTCAAACTCAGTTGAGAGATGGCTGAAGACTTTGTAGCTTTTAAAATATTTGGGCCTGGCATTGAGGGAGGACATAAGAAATGGAAGACATTTCAATCTTCAAGAAGTTTAAATTTAACTAGGAAATTAAGTTGGAAGCACTGAAGACAGTGATGTAAGGAAAAACGCTAAATTATGGAGTGCTAAGAGGACAGCAAGAGGAGAAGCACATGTGTGATCCACACGATGCAAATCTCACCTCCCCAAACCCCCTACCAAGCAGTCTCCATTGTAATCTCTAGAGAATGCTCCTGGGTAAGTAGAAGACTCAACTCATAGCAGAAAAAATAAACCAAAAATCCACTAATGAATTCAATGTCCCTTAAATAGGATTTGTATCATGGGCTCCTCTTAGATGTATCCCCCTAAAACTCCCATGTCCCCATAACCAAATGTTGAGACTGTTTTAATCAGGCAGTTTTAATGAAACTGCTACTTTTCATTTTCTCTCCAGCTTTGAGAATGATCAAAACCAAATGTTCTAATCACAGTAAATTCACTAGCAACATTGTTCTGGCTTGTTATATCATCCTGCCCCTACATATGTTATTTTTCTTTTATGTTTATGCTATTGGTCCCATTAAATTGTAAGCGATCTCAAATCTGCTTAGAAGGGAAACAGGAGGAAAAGAGTATAAAAAATGTGTAAGTGTAATAATCTCTAGAAATTTAGCCCCAATTCTCATGTGAATCCCCTGGAATACCTGGGACCCCTAACAGGTTTCTGGGCACCAGCAAAACAAGGAGTATAACATCATAGTCCAGAAACTTCGCCCTGAAATTGAGGGAATTGGTCACTAAAGGATCTGCCTTTCTCCTGCTCCACTTCTGAACTCTGGACATAGAATAAAGCCAGGACTGTCCCTACTTGACTCCACTACAGCCCCTGGGGACAACGGGCTGGTTATCTCTTAGCCAGGTTCTGTCATTTTATGTCCACACACCCCTCACCACTCCCATCTTGCTTCCTAACTAAATTAAGTCCCGGTTACTCCCTCTGCTATTTGGCCCACCTCTTTGCTGAGCTCTCTCAAATATCTCATCTGCCATTTAGTTGCAGCTGTTTGCTATAGGGGATGACGTGTTATGGTAGGAAGAACACTGGCCTTGGAGTCAACTCCTTGAAGACCAAAGTACAAGTCTTGAACCTGCCACTTTTTAGCACCATGACCCTGTTCTCTAAGCCTTAGACTCCTCATGTGTTAAACAACCAAAACAAAAAGTTGGGGACTAATAGTGCTTGTTCTGCCAACTCACGGGGTAAAATCAAACTCAATAAGGAGATGTAAAAGCACTTTGCAACTGGAGAGGTCAAAACCATAGCCTCCCAAACTTTATATTGCTTCAAAATCCCCCAGGGAGTTTGTATAAAGGGGGAAAGACATATGCATAAAAAATAAGGAAAATACATAGTTTGTTAGAAGATAATAAGTACAAAGGTGAAATTCAAAGTATAGCAGGGGAGTGCGAGGGAAGAATAATTTTAATCAGGGTGGTCAGAGTAAGTCTCACAGAGAAGGTCATGTTTGAAAAGACTTAAAAGAGGTGATAACCATGCAGCTTTCTGGGGGGGAAAGTGATCAGGAAGAGGGAACAGGAAGGGCAAAATCCACAGCAGGAGGGTGTGCAGGCTGTGTTCAAGGAAGAGCAAAGAGACCAGAGTGGCTGGAGGTGAAAAGGATGCAAGAAAAACAGAGACGAAAAGGGGCCACACTCTCTGGACCCTACAAGCTGCGTTAAGGACTCTGGCTTTTACTCTGAGTGAGATGGGGCCCCAGGAGGGGTGCCGTGAAGTGACTTGTGTTTTGAGTGGATCATCAGTCTGCAGTGCTGAGAATAACATGTAGCAAGGGTGAGGGTGGAAGCTGAAGGACCAGTTAGGAGGCTATGGCAACAATCCAGGTGAGCAAACAAGGTGTCCTGGACCAAGATGGTTCTAATGGAGGAGGAGACAGTGGTTGGAAGGTGGACCTATGCTGAAGGTAGAGCTAAGCAGATTTGCAGATGAATTTGGAATATGAGAGGAAGAGAGAGTGAGGTCAGAGATGACTCAGAGGATAGGGAAGCCATTGGCTCAGATAGGAAGATGGTGATAGTGCAGGTTTTGAGAAGAGGATGAGGAGTTCAGTTTTAAACAAGTTAGTTTCTTTAGCTCAAGTAAACATACAGAAAAATACACACAGCTTAAGTGGACAGCTCGATGAATCTGTACACAAATAACATACCAGAGTAATCACCACCAAGATCAAAAAATAGAATATTTCTGCCAACACAGAAGCTTTCTTCATATCCCTCCTAGTCACCACTCGCCCTAAAGGTAACTGTTATTCTGACATCCATCACCATAGATTAGTTTTGCCTATTTTTGAACTCCATATAAATGGAATCATACAATATGAACTCTTGTGCCTGGCTTTTTTCATTCAATATTAACTTTGTGAGAAGCATCCACATTGTTAATATAGCAATGGTTCACTTTTTTTTCATTGTTGTATATTATTCCATTGTTTGAATCCACCACAATTTATATATCCATTCATTGTTGATGGATAGCAGGTTTCTAGTTTGGGGCTATTGCTGACACTGCTGCTGTGAACATTCTTGTACATATCTTTGGTTGCATATATATATGCATTTCTCTTGGACACATATCCGTAGGTACATAGGTACTTATAAATGCTGCTTCCTCTCACTTTGAACCCAGCCACCACACTATGAGGAAGCCCAAGAAGCCACATGGAAAGATTCACGTGGAGGAGAATTGAGGCCCCTAGCCAACAGCCCTTGTTGAACTCCCAAGTGACAGCCAGCACCAACTTGCAGGCCACGTGAGTGGCCTAAAGATCATGCCAAACAGATTTCCCATGTTGTGTTTTAATTTAAGTTCCCACCAGCAATATTTAACAGTTCATATTGCTGTACATGCTCACCAATGGCTGTACTGTCAAGTGTGTGTGTGGTTTTTTTTTTTCATTTTAGCCATCCTGATTAATGTGTAGTGATATCTTGCAATTTCAACTTGTATTTCTCTGATAAATGCTATTGAGCACATTTTCATGCTTATTGGTAATGTGAATATCCCTTCTTTGCAAAGTACTTCTTCAAGTCTTTTGCCAATCTTTTAATTAGATTGTTATAGCAGATTAAAGATGGCTAAAACTTCTTGTAACCATCTCCCACACACGATGAGAGATGGAGTATATTTCTTTACCCCCTTGAATCTGGGCTGGGCCATGACTACTGTGATCCATAGAATACAGTGGATGTGATGCAGTACCAGTTCTGGACCTAGCCTTGAAAAGGACTGACAGCTACTGTGTCCTCTCACTTGAAACCTAGCACCATGCTGTGAGGAAGCCCAAGAAGCTATGCAGAAGGGCCCATATGGAGGAGAATTAAAGTCCCTGGCAAACAGCCCCAGCTGAATACTTACAACAGCCAGCGCCAACTTGTGGGCCTGTGAGTGATCTATTTTGCAAGCAGATCCTCCAGCCCTAACCAAGCCATCGGACCTGAGGCCATGTGGAGCACAGACATGCTGCTCCCAAGCCCTGCCCAAATTGTAAAATTGTGAGTAAATAAATGATTATTTTTAAGCCACTAATATTTTAGGTGATTTGTTATGCAGCCATCAATAAGTAAAATAGCTTTCTGTCTTTTATTATTAGTTTCCTTTTTAGGAAATTGTTACATATACTACATAGGAATCTTTTGTTGTATGTGTGTTCCACAAATATCTTCTTCAAGTCTGTGGCTTGCTCTTTCCTTCTCTTAATGATGTCTTTTGATGAACAGAAAGTCTTAATTATAATGAAGTCCCATTTATAACTCTGTTCCTTTATCTTAGTGCTTTTAGTGCACTATTAAAGGAATAATTCCTTACTCCAACATTATGAATATACTGTCTTGTGTTATCTTCTAGAACTTTGATGGTTTTACCTTTCATATTGAAATCTAAAATTCACCTGGAACAAACCGATTTTTGTTACGGTGCGAGATATGGGTTGAGATTCATTTTTGTTCCATCTAGATATCCACCTCACCAGCACTAGTTATTGAAAAGGCCATCCTTTTCTGCATTGCAGTATCACCTTTGTCCTAAATCAGATGACTGCATATGTGAGAGTCTGCTTCTGGACTTTCTCTTCTGTTCCAACTGGACTAGTTAAATTTAAGTTTTCTATTAGATCACCAAGTGGCGAGGTCAATCAAGCAGTTAGATATATGAATCTGAAATTCAAGGGAGAGGTTCAGGATGGAGATACAAATTTCGGGATGATATGTGCATAGGTTTTCTTTAAAGCCATGACACTGGATGAAATCACCCACGGAATATAAGTGTAGAGAAAGCAGAGGTGAGGTCCAAGGACCAAACTGCAGGATTCTCCAACATCAAGAGGCTGGGAAAAAGATGAATAACCAGAAAAATGGAGAGGGAAGTATACAAAAAGCAAAGTGAAGAAAGTTCTTCCAGGCGGACAAAATAATCAACTGTGTCAATGATGCTGATAAGTCAAGTAAAATCACGACTGAGAATTTACTATTGGCTTTATCAATGTGCAGACCATTGTGATCTTGACCAGAGGAATTGACAGGACACTCCTTGAAAGGAGGAGTGATGGAGGCAAATTCCTTGGAAGAGTTTAGGAAAGAACAGGAAAAGGCTAAGTAGAAACAGTGAGTTTTATTTTAAATGTTGTAAAAAAAAAAAGTTTTGTTGTCAATGAGGAGCACAGAAATGGGTTGCTAACTGAAGGTGTTGAGCTTGTCAAAAGAGGAGGTTTTTGTTATTGTTCTTAAAGATGGGAGTAATAATAGCAAGATGGTATGATGAAGGAGAAATTAATGAGAGAGATAATTTGTCAGCAGACATCAGCATTAATTACTTTTAGAGGCTAGCATGTGTTTACTCATGGTCTCAGAGGCCTGGGAAGACTAGCACACAGGTCAGGGAAGTTTTCAGAGGATCACGGGGAACCAGCATATGCAGGGCATTAAAGTTGAAGACCTTGCACAATGAGGGTGGCAGACATCCTGGGGTCCTGGGAAATGGAGGAGAAGAGAAGGGATGGTCCTGAAAGGTAGGCAAGATAAGTTTTACCCAGATCACAAATGTTTCCAGGTGAGTCCTAATTCCAATCTCCTCTAAGTATCCAGAAAGAATTCCTCTAAAGTTCTTATGATATTACTGAAGACCCCTCTTCTCTTTCCTTTTACAGCTGCTGTGGACCAGTACCAATCACTTCATACACAAACAGGATCTAAAGTGACAAACACCCAGTACCCTCTCATGGATCCTCCTTATCACAATTTGCAAACTCATCATCAATTTACCATCCCTTACATAACAAGTAGTGGGATACTATAGAAAGACCGCAAGCACCCAGGTCTGAGTTCTGGTCTGCTTCTACCACTTGTAACTTTGAGCAAGTCAGTGGACCTCCTTGAGTTTCCATCTCCTTAGATGAAAAACAGACAGTGCCTCTAGGGTCCATTCCTGTCTTCTGATTCTATTTTCCTCATCTTCAGGATTACAACATCTTATTTACCTCCAGTGACATTTTACCTACACTATCCAATCAAAAATTGACTACTAAACACTTACATGCTTACTGCTGTGCTAAAGTGCTGAGATTACAAGAAGCAAAGTAGATAAATTATAGGCTACTGAGAGGATCCTGATAAAAATTTTAAAAATCACAAACCAGTGGAAATGCTAGGATGAGGGAAATACAGGGATTTCTGGGAGCACTTGGCATGAGGATCAGGAACCGAATAGCAGATGAGGAATTTATTTAGCAGAGTGAGTAGGATTATTCTGAATCAGGTTTTAACTTAGTTGCTTACTTCTACTTCTTTGCCTCAGATACTTATAACTCTAGCTCCTTAAAAACTCTGTACTGGTCTCTGTTGATACTGAAACCTTTCCATACAGAATTCTCTAATTCCTAAGTCTTTAAGATGAGAGGTGAAGTTTCTGACATAACCCTATTGCTCCCCTTAATAAGCACCTGTGTGGTGATCAGTGCTCCCTCCCTGGGGTTCTAGAGTCAAGAACGAGAAAGAAGCAGCCACTAAATCTATGAGCTGATCACAGTATGCACTGTGTTAGCCAACCCAAGTTGTATTCTTTTTGTGTGTGTGTGGATTCTCTCTTACTAGACAACTGGTGTGAAAATTCAGGATTCAACAACTCTACCATTCTCTCTGGCAGATTTATTTTAAATTCAGTTTTTTCTTTTATAATTCATCATAGCATGCCTCACTTTGCCCCAAATGTCAGGCTTTGTTTCAGACTCTGAGCTTTTAGAAAGCAAGACATTCTGTGTGCCTGGGTGAGAGCTTGTGGTTGACGGTGTGTGATTCAACAAGGTACTTGATGAGCAATAACATTTCATCTTCTGCTACTCACGTTGTATCCATGGCAATTTTATGCCCATTGTACTCAAGAAGGTGCCTAATAACAAAAAGCCAACATACTCATAGAAGTATAATGATGTACACCTGAAATTCATACAATCTTATAAACCAATGTTACCACAATAAAAATAATATATATATATATATATTAAAAAAAATAAAAATATCTCTAAGCTGTTATTTGGTCCACAGTGTAGCCCCAGGACCATGCCACAGAGCTTTGTCATAGGTCAGACACATGAAATGAAGTGGAAGGTACAAGCAGTGAGATGGGGGAGTAGGACTGTTAGCTCCAAGTTGTATTCTTGAAAACTATCAGTTAGACTTCTACAGAAAACAGCTGCTTGGAGGACAAAAGGAAAGATCCAATTCTACCATTTCAGAATGGTGATGTGAATGTAAACTGGTGCAGCCACTATGGAAAACAGTATGGAGGTTCCTCAAAAAACTAAAAATAGAACTACCATATGATCCAGTAATTACATTTCTGGGTATTTATCTGAAGGAAATGAAATCACTATCTCGAAAAGATATCTGCACTCCCACGTTCACTGCAGCATTCTTCACAACAGCCAAGACATGTAAACAACCTAAATGTCCATCAGTGGATGAATGGATAAAGAAATTGTGGTATATGTATACAATGGAATACTATTCGGCCATAAAAAGAAAGAAATCTTGCCATTTGTGACAACATGGATGGACCTTGAAGATGTTATGCTAAGTGAAATAAGTTGACAGAGAAAGACAAATACTGTATGATCTCACTTATATGTGGAATATAAAAAAAAAAAAAGAGAACAGATTGGGAGGGGGCAGGATGGGCAAATTGGGCGAAGGTGGACAAAAGGTCTAAACATAAAAGAAAGACAGGCGAGTCACGTAGCAAGTTCAAAGCATGTAGAACTCAGGAGGGAACCTGGACTACAAAGGACAATGTTGAACAAACAAGTAAGAAACCCAATCTGGAAACCTACAGGTGGTAATTAGTCCTCCACAGGAGACACAAACTTGAACTTCACTGGAAACTGCCCTGCACTAGAATCAGAAGATCCAGGTTTGGTTATTAATTAATTCATACTTGCAATTTATCATTTAGTCAGTCAAGAAGTATTTATGATACTGCAGAATGGGATTCCCCTCTCCCTCTGCACTCCTCCCTAAGTCCAGAGCATTTAAGAAGCTTGAGTTCCTGCTTTTTCTATTAAACATCCTAATAGGAGTTCTTTAACTTTTTATTATGGAAAATAGCAAACATTACAAAAATAGAACAAATAACAAACCCTACTTACTCATCACCTACTTTCAATGATCATCAATTCATGAACAATCTCATTAAATCTATACTCCATGCAACTTCCCCACCCCATGCCCTTAATTATTTTGTGGCAAATCCAAGACATCAGATAATTTCACCAGTAAATATTTCAGTATGCATCTCCAACAATATAAATTCTTTTTTAAAAAATATAACTACAACACTATTATCACACCTAAAGAAATGAACCATAATTCTTTAATTTTATCAAATGGTCAGTGTTTAGATATTCCTGATTGTCTCATTATTTTTTGAAACATATGACTTTTTCTCCCCTTTGCTTTTTTTTCATTTAACGTTACATCACGGAAATCATTCCATAGTACTATATAGAAATATTTAAAAGAGCCTTTTAATATAATAAAGTATGAGGCTTTCCCATGTGAAAAGAAAGTCTTATCAGCAAGGTAGGGATTTACTTGTCCTGTAGACGCTCCACTCAGAAGAATCTGAGAGACCCAAAGACTTCCCACACTAAGCACCAAAGGGCTATGCATAACGCAGTTATCAGTGATGTACTCCCTATTCTTGACCTGGTTGAAAAGGGTGGGGGGGCAGAAAAGGGAAGAGGAAGGGAGACCAGAGAGAGAAGCAGCTCTGGTAACCACATAGAGCCAAAAGTTGACCAGCTGGGAAGGGAAAAGGAATATTCACCATTCTCCAGCTGCCATTTTGTATTTGGGATTATCTCATAGTAATTTCGCTTCCTTTCTGTTGGTGGACTACACATGCAGGCCCCTCGAGATGTTGCTGGGCATAGCGGATTGACATTTATTTAGGCATCTCTGGCACTGACTGTGACTTTGGGAAATCACTTTATTTCTCTGGGTCTCAGATATATCATCTATAAATTTTCAGACTAGGTTATATAATCTTGAATGTTCTTTCAAACTCTAACATCTATGTTTTCTTTAACAAAAAACAGAAATAAAGAAATTGGAATCACCAGAATTATTTGTGGATATTTAAAGTAAAAAAATTAAGTCTTCGCTCTTTGCAATGGGAACGTCACTCTTTGAAAGCAAGAGCAGTAGATTTAAATTAAACATAGCGCAGACTGCTAACAACAATCCAACTGTTATCATGTTGGAATATACTGAAAGAGCCACATGGATTGTTCACTTCTAAAAATGCTTTATGTGTGGCCTGTCCCGGACCTCTTAGAGAAAGACTTTATACAAAGCTTTAAATATATGTTTAGTAGAGCATGTGTGACATTTGCACAAGATCTTAAGACAAAATAATTAATAGTTAATGGGTAGAGGAGACAATAAACTGTTCTGCAGCCAGCAGAACTGAAGCCAGTTTCAGCTGAGAGAAGAAATTTCAGTTTGACTGTGGGGTTGAGTTTTTTATTAGTAAACTATAAATTTTTATTGCTAACATATAAAGAAAATTTGGAAAATACAGATTAGGAAAATAATATCAGGTGATTATAACACCTGTAATGACCACTGATGACATTCTTATAGCTTTCTAATATCTATAATCTTTATAATTTAAAATTTTGACTCACACTATGTGTTGTTTGTCACATTTAACAATATTATGAATTCTTCATCATCAAATAATCTTCCAAGATACTGAGAATGACTACATAATTTTCTATTATATGATGATACTCTGATTGTTTGAGCATTTCCCTATGGTTGGGCACTTGGTTTGTCTCCAATTTATATTTTTTGTTATTATTACCAAAACTTTTGTAAATATCCTGGTAGCTGAATTTTAGAGGATATACTAGAAATAAAATCCCAGAAATGGAATCATTAGGTCATAAGTCATACAAATTTTTATTTTGATCTGTATTGACACACTGCCCTCTGAACACTTGGGCCATAATCCATTCCAATCAGCAGTGTGTGAGTGTGCCCTCTCCCTTACCACTGTCAATACTCGTTAACTTTAAAGTAATTGAAATCTGATAGGCAACAAATACATTTTGCTTAAAATTTTAAATAAAAAAAGAAAGAATCATTCTTGTGGCTTAGCTACTCCGAGTTATATTTTTATCAAACCCATCAAAGTACTTCCTTCCTCTCTCTAGCTCTGAACTTGCTCTGCAGATTCTAGTTACCCAGCTTCACCCCTTCAATCCCTTTATTGAAGAGTTTTCAATACAATAATGGATCTCTGCCAACCAAGTCATTGATTACTAAATTTCAGTTCTTCATTTAGAATTGTTGAACTTTAGATTTGTTGAAACTGTCTACTCTCTGTCTAGACTAAAATAGTAAAACTTATTACTTCAAATGTGTCTGATCAAGATTTAGCAGTCTTCAAGTCATGTTCTGTTTTGTTTTTACAAATGTGTCTCTGTGATATTGTTTACGAAAACCAACTAATGTATTTTTCCTTCATCCCTGGTCCCCTCTCTATTCTTGGAATCTACACTTATCATCATGGAATATTCCATCTTCCACAATTACACACCTCCCATTTCTCTCTTTCATGGCATGCTGGGGAAACACCTTGATTTTTTTTCATTTTAATGCCTGGAAAATGAAAAGCCAGGTGATGTTCCATATAGTCTAACCCTGCTCTCTAAGTGGCAAACCTCATCCTGGGAACATATAACCACCTACTTGAACAAACAGGACACAGAAGCACTGCTCTGGAAGGTAGAGTTCAGTCCTAGCTTTGGTTGTGTGATCTTATTCGCTTTTTCTCTGGGCCTCAGTTTTCCGCATCGGAAAATGACAGAATTAGGTTAGATTCTCCATAAGATCTCCTTCATCTCTCTGATCTTCTCCAAAAGTTCCTAAGTTCCCAATGAAAAGGAAATTTCTAGACATCAATAATTAAGAATTGTCACTGCACAGCAATTAAACTCAATTAAAAAAACTACAAAGCCCTCCTTCAGACTGCCCATAATATGTACTGAACTATCTATTCTGGCACTTAATTATATTCAATTAAGAGCTTTTCTCCCCAGGTAGCAAGCTCAATTGCCTTCAGGAGCCAAACTGGTAAGAGAAATGAGTGAAGCACGCTGGCTTTTATTCTTTAAAAATTGGCACATGCTTTATACTTAGACACAGGAAGGATCTTCAGTTTCACAAAGAATTATGCTTTCTCCCATTTTCCTGATACATTTCACTCCAAGAGTCTATCTCTAGTTTCTCTCTTGTTTTTATACAGTTATCCATGGAAAAAAACAATATTGCTCAACAATTAGAAGACAAAGGTACAAATACAGTGATAAATGATGACTGCCTCATCTCAGCCTTCGTGTCAGATAAAATACAGGAAGTGGTGGAGGCTGCAGTGAACTCCATAGGACTCACCTGTCCAGGTAGGGAAAGAGGAAGACTCATGCCCTCGCTGGCATGAGGGCCTATTGCTGTAAGATCTTCCGGTCTTTTGAGAAACAGGAACTTCATACTTGTAGGTAGAAACTGATATTTTACCTGCCAACTCTGGTTTATTGACAGTATTATGCAAGCCAAATAAAATATTTTATATGTCTTTGTGCAGTCAGTTTTAGACCTACCTTGCTGAAAAAAATGAGAAGGAACCATCAGAGGAGATAAAAGTGTCATTTTAGAATCAAAAAGTGAGGGTGAATTGGGGCAGAAAGGGAGGAGCATGAAGGAAACTAGCTTCTAAAGTTTGAAATTATTAGACATTCCAACGCATATCAAGGTCATGAGCCAACTCACCCACTGAAGAGAACCTCTTCCTTCTGAATAATAATGAATAATAGCAACAAGAACTAACACATACTGAGAACCACATTCCGGATACTGTGCTAAGGCTTTATATGGTTAATTTCACTTAAACCTCAAGATCACACAGCTTCAAGTGTCTGACCCAGGACTCAAACCCAAGACCATGCTCTTAAACCTCTGTGCTCTATCCCATGAAGCCACTTGCCAGATGAAGAGAGCAGAATGGGATGACATGTGGGTTTGTAGCAGCCCCACTGAAGAGCTATGGGCCTCAACTGCCCTTGAAGGCAGCCTCCCTTTTACAGTAAAAGATCATTTGTCAGTTCCCTTTAGCAGAGGAAACTGCCCCCAAGTTTACATTTTTTCAAGCATCAATGGGGCAATTTAGTCCACACAAAAATAAAAAATGAGTGAACAATAATATCATAATCAAGCCTGAAAAAATAGATTCCCCCACTCTAAGTCACTCAGTCTTCATCCAGAGCAGAGATGAGGGAGAGGGCCCTGCTGGTTGCCTAAAGAGAGGAGCCAGTCAGCCAGCTCTTGTTAAATTAATTAAACAAGGAGGTCATTAGACTGAGATGGCTGTAACACCATGGTGGCCTACATAAGCAAGCCAAAATCTAAGCCTGTGAACGCCTCAAGGTTACAAAATCACAACCAAACAGCCACCTACACTTTAAGTTATAATCAAGCAAATAATTTCCTTTCTCTGCTTCCACACCTTCTCTATATAAGTCTTTCTCCTGGCTCCTATTGGCGGAAAACTCCTAACTAGTTCCAGTTTGGTGCTGCTTGATTCCAAATGATTGTGTGTGTGTGTGTGTGTGAGGAAGATTAGCACTGAGCTAACATCCATGCCAATCCTCCTTTTTTTGCTGAGGAAGACTGGTCCTGGGCTAACATCCGTGCCCATCTTCCTCCACTTTATATGGGACGCCGCCACAGCATGGCTTGACAAGTGGTGCATTGGTGCGTGCCTGGGATCAGAAACCGGGCCACCAGGAGCAGAGCGCGCACTTAACCACTACGCCACAGGGCCGGCCCCCCCAAATGATTTTTAATCAAATAAATGCTTCCAAATTTTAATATACCTCAGTTTATCTTTTAACACTCTGAAGAATGGCTGTCTAGGGGCAGGCCAGCAGTTTAGGAGTAGAGATGAGGAAGAAAGGCCCTCTGATGGTGCTTGTGGTTGAGTCTGCCTAGATGATCACCAATCCCATTTCCTCTTTCTGGGCACATAAGACAAACTCACTTTTCACATCCCTCACTCTGTAAAGCTATGCAGCCATGGCTAGGATGATGCTTCTTGACCTAGCCCAAAAAATCTCCTAGGAGATCCTTAGAATCTCACAACTTGAGAGCTTTGAGCAGGGCGGGAAGTGAAGGACTCCAATATGGCAAAGCCACATGGTGAGGGAGCCTGGATTCCTGAGTAACCACTGGAAGGGGAATCATCCCTTGGAGAAAAGCCATCCAGAAGAGATGCTGACCCAGACTAGGCTATGATATGAGTGAGAAACAAAATTTACGGGATTGGCCACTAAGATTTGGGAGCTATGTGTTAAAGCAGCTAGCAAGCAAATTCTAACAGAGTTCCCAGGAAAACTAGCGTGGTTTCCTCTATGCCTAACCAAGGATCTAGTTTGTACAATCTTTTCTGCCCTTCAAATAATCAAAGAGCTTAGTATTGAGGAGGTCCCCAGAGATGACCCCATAAAACCTGCTAAAAATCTCCTTATTTGTGTGAAGAATCAAGTCACCTGCTGAAATTCCAGAAAAGCCCTCCTAGCCACACACCGAGTACCTGAAAGAAACCAGTAGGTGGCCAGGAGTCTAGTGATACCTGTGGATGAACTGTGGGCCCAAACTCTTCAGGAAGGGAAACTGGGCTGGATAAATCATTTCATTGGACAGGTGTTTGAGCCAGTGGCCAAACTTTGATGACTTTCAGCTGATAGACAGTCAGAATAATGAATGTGGCAGATGCTCCTGCCAAGAAAGAAGTTTGTGGGGGCCAGCCCTGTGGCATAGTGGTTAAGTTTAGCGCACTCCACTTCAGCAGCCCGGGTTCGCGGGTTTGGATCCTGGGCATAGACCTATACCACTCATCAGGCATGCTGTGGAAGCGACCCACATACAAAACAGAGGAAGATTGGTACAGATGTTAACTCACAGCTAATCTTCCTCAAGCAAAAAAAGAGGAAGATTGGCAATAGACGTTAGCTCAGGACACATCTTCCTCAGGAGAGAAGAGAAAAGAAAAGTTTGCACACTCAGGATTTGTGTTTCAAATGTCACACAAAACCAAAAAGATTTTTTTAAAAAGCATACAAGGCTCTTAAACTAGTTGTTTAACACTATTTGATCAAGATGTAGTGCTCAAAATTTTTATGTGATCGGAATTATTTTTGTTTTTGCAAAGAAAGATCGGATGACTTCATAGATAATTCTAAAATGTATAGGTTTTGCTCAGCAACTTATGATTGAGAGAGAAGCAATAATTGATTATATAAAAATTCTTTGCAAGTGGGAGAAAGTTGGACCAAACTGCAAGCAATTCTTCCCCATATGAGTCTTTGCTCAACTTTTCCATGGAGAACTCACCAGCAGCACTTCTGTCATGCAGGTCCTCGGTTATGTAACCTGAAGAGTGTGCTCCAAACTAGAATCAGGCTTGGTCTAGAGGATGTGGCTGAGCCAGGTCATTTCTGCAAACTGGATTTAGAAAATGCCACACTGGAACAGATCCTGCCCTTGCCACAGCTGAATAGGCTGGGCATATCATTTGATCCAGTTATCTGACCACAGTTAAAGGGGTGTTAAAAAAAATGAATAAAAAAACTCCTTAAGAACAAGGAAGATGAAAACACATGGTATTTCCACCTGTATATTCCTAGATAATTTGTTCTTGATAAGAGTTTGAGACATTTCCAAGGGAAATCAAGAAATAAATTGGTTTTCTACTTCTCCTTTTCTAAAAGAAGTAGAGGCATATTCAATTTATGCCTCTTGATAAGGTCCACAATAGTGTGCTCAGAAAAAAAAAGCTTTTCTTCCTCAGCCATAGAACTGAAACTTTTGGGCCAGCCCCATGGCTTAGCGGTTAAGTGTGCGCGCTCCGCTGCTGGTAGCCCAGGTTCGGATCCCGGGCACGCACCGACGCACTGCTTCTCCAGCCATGCTGAGGCCGTGTCCCACGTACAGCAACTGGAAGGATGTGCAGCTATGATGTACAACTATCTACTGGGGCTTTGCGGGGAACATAAATAAATAAATAAAAATCTTTAAAAAGAAAAAAGAACTGAAACTTTCTTTTTAATGGCAGTCTACTCTACTCGTCGAGGGCAAAACATTCACAGCTCACCTAACTCACCCATTTGTAAAAAATTTTTAATGGAAAAAATAGTGATAACAGTACTAGCAAATTTGGGGCTGATTATATACAAAGGTTGGAGCAATAGGGTATGGGTAGTTCAATTTGCACCTCAATACATACATATATATATACATATATATGCCTTATAGTCTAATTGTTTGAAAGCATATGTCAAAAATATTCCTAATGAAAATGTGTGTACCACTACACATTATTTGGTTAACTATATAACAAATAACAAAATAAATTAATAATAATAAGTGCAATTTGTAATTAAAAAGCAAGAATAACACAAATACAAACAAACAGCTAAGCACCACCCTGCTGGTCAACAGGTAAGAAGCTTCTTTCCAAAATCCGCAGAACCGCAGCCACCCCCACGTGTTTGCAGGGCAGTGGGCCCTCTGCTATGTTGCCAAGCATTACAGGGCAACTGGGCTTCTTAGTAAAACACTGAATTAGAGTCCATCATAAGCTCCAGTAACACACCAATTTTAGTTTACGAATACTAAAGTGTAATAATCCTTAATAACCGATATAATGGGCTGCTATTAAATAGCTCTCAGTCATCCACAAAAATTAAAGTCTATGAAACTGTATGCATCATTCCCCTCATAAAGACCTGGCCCCTTTCTCAGCCCATTAGGAGGCTGCTCAAGACTTAACAAGCAGGCCTTGGCCAACACTTTCAAAATCAACCCTGAGGGGACCCCAACCTTGACACTCATCAATAAGGATCAAGTCTCATAGGGAGGTAGGAGCAGCGGAGGGTCAGTCTTATTTATGTGGAAGAAATGGATGAGGGGCTGGCCCCACGGCTTAGTGGTTAAGTTCAGCACTCTCTGCTTCAGCGGCCAGGGTTCAGTTCCCAGGCGTGGACCTACACCATTTGGCGGCAGCCAGGCTGTGGCGGCAATCCACACACAAAATAGAGGAAGACTGGCACAGATGTTAGTTCAGGGCGAATCTTCCTCAGCAAAAAAAAAAAAAAAAGAAATGGATGAAAAGATACAGCTAGAAGTTTGTACTTGAAGCTCAGGAAGATTATATTTTCTAGTCAATCCATAATAATAGAACATGAGACCCAAACTGAATGTTTTTTCACTGAATTATTTCTTTAGTGGTGATCAAAAGAATTTATGGCTCAAGGAATAAGAGCTGAGTTCTGGAGTCACACTGGAAACACCAATTCTAGCTTTTCCACTTCTTAGCTGTGTGACATTAGACAAATTAGTTCACTCATCTAGACTCTAGTTTCCTTATCTGTAAAATGGGGAAAATAATAATAGTTTCTACCAATAGGGTTCTTATGAGGATTAAATGATGTAATTCAGGCAAACTATGGCCCATGGGCCAAACCCAGCCCACTTGTTTTTGTAAATAAAGTTTTACTGGAACACAGTCATGCCCACTCATTTATGTATTGTGTACGACTGCTTTCTCACTGTAACAGGAGAACTGAGGAGCTGTGATAGACACCACATGGCCCGCAAAGACCAAAATATTTACTATCTGATCCTTTACAAAAAAAATTTGCCCTCCCCTGACATAATCCATGTACATCATTTTGCACCACTATTGGCATACAAACAGTTAGCTACTGTTTTCTGTTTAGAGTTTTGTGAATTTAAGGAGCTATGGAGCAAAAGAGAAGAGTTAAAAATGAAAACTAGATTCTGGCACCAGGTCCTCAGAACACTTGGTTTCAAGGAAAAGTCACTCAGCCATATAAGCATATAAAATAGTTAAAAATAGAGCTGCTTTGATAGAAGCCACAGTGGGGGGCCTGGAAAAATACTATACCGTACATACATAATTATGTACGTGCTCCTTAAAACCTGTAGAAATTAATTGAAAACATGAAGTCCAAAGTCTGAACACCAGAGGGCTTTTTCTTTGATTTTCATGTGCACTTTTATTCTCATCTACTGCTCCAGAAAGGCACAAAAGCAATTAAAGCAATAGCATAAGGTAACTAAATCCTCATATCCTTCCTAGAATAAATGGAAATAAACAGAGGGATTCTCAAGTCACTCTGGCTGCATAGTCTTTTCTTTACCTTATATTTTCTACTCTATGAATTTCCAAAGGGACTACTTTGCAGAAAAAGAGATGGGAAGATGTTATGCTTGCTTGACAACTCTTGAGAGTGGACTCAAGAGGAAAACCTTGACATCTCAGGCAAGATCTTTCTTCTGGACCGTCAGGAGGCTGCATTGCTGATGTCAAGCCAAGCAAGCAC